AATATTTTAGTATTAGTTACTAATACTAAAAGTTTCAGTTTTTTAGTATTAGTTACTAATACTAAAATTTTAGTAACTAATTTACAACCCTGTCTGTAACTGTACCCGGCATCTGTGGGTGCCTGCACGTACATCAATACCTCCCAGCTAAGGTACATGTACTGTGCAACCTGCCTGTAGCCTCTCGCTCTGCACAGGTACACGAGCCCGTCCGTCTTTGCTGTAAGTAAATGCACGCAGCAGGCAACGTTGTCCTGCTCTTGCAGCTTCTTCTTTATTTGACTCCGGCAGCGGCTCAGTGCTTCGGGTTTCGCCATTGGGCCATGGTTGGCAACTCGTGTCACGGCGATGGTCAGTCTGCACGCCCCTCCCTTGCGCAAGGCGAGGCGACGAACGGCGGGCGGGCCAAGGAGGTACTACAAGTACTATCACCAACAGTCCGCGAGCTGCCCGGCTCGTTGTCGCTACCCTAGAGGGCCGCGAACCTTGTAGTAAACTGGGTGCATTGCCTGCTTGATCATCGGCCTGTTCAACTCTCGGGTTGCCTGAGGCTGTGGATGGACCTGGTTTTGGATTATCCGGTTCCCAAAAGTCGTTGGTGAGAGCGCCCTCTGAGCTGGGTGAAGCTGAAAAGAAGCAATTCTAGCTCTGCACTTTGGTGCGTGGCAATCCATCCACGGTCAACCCCGGACAAGCAACTCATGGTAACCTCTGCCGCAAGCTCCACTCCCCCCAGAATGTGAATGTGGGCGTCAGGGGTGCGACAATTTGGGGCAAGCAACCTTGACAAGAGACGAAAAAGAAAAAAGAGGGATGGTGATGCAAGTACTTCCGCCTGTCATGAGCCGCTGCAATATCAGCCTGACCCAAAGTCGACGCATCATCTTTGTTGGGTCACACAAGCTGCAATTGTTTCGGCAACATTGTTTCTTACTGCCCCCCCCCCCCCTTTTGCATCGTTGAACAAGAAAGCTGGACACGCACATACGCACACCCTCTTGAATCAGAATGCCACCATCACTACTAACTAGCTTCCCCCTCGATGTTGCTGGGAATACAGACATGTAAAGGTAGGTAGAGCAAACAAGCCACAATTTCACTCCTACTCCATCCGGGGTGTTACTGTACCTCTATGCCCTACATGCATCCCCCGGCTTCAGGACATACCGTAGGGGGGCATCTGTATGGATGTATATGCGGCTGCTGGTGTGGTATTTAGGTCGGGTAGCTGAGGTTCGACGCGGGGGATTTTTTTGGGTCAAGGTTGGTTTCAGGACGCCATGCCTCTTTTTGCTTTTGGCTGCCTCTGGTTGGGCTCGTTTACGATGGTCTCAAAAGAGTGACATGACACGTACGAGTACGATGGGTAGGTTTGTGAAATTTCTGTCAGTAATCATTTTTTGTTTGCTAGTCGTAGGATTTCATCGCCATTAGTTACTACTTGTCCTAGACATGTGGCTAACATCCTGGCGACTCTTGAGAGTGTATCTCTACGGACGCCTTCTACTAACACCACTCCTTGTATCTTCATCGGGTAGTCTCTGAGAATATATATGATGGGCATCTAGCCTGGGATGCTAAAGACATGCTGCCCTCGGGAGAAAAAAAAAGGACAGCCTGCTCCCGGTCCTCTAGAGTGAAGTCATCAACGTGTTTAGATCTCGTGGCCCTACCACGCCATACGATGTGGTGCGATATAATACAATGTGGTGTTAAATGTCGCTTCTCCAATCTCGTCTTCATCTACATGTTTGTGATATCTGGGTTTGGATTACGCGTGCTTTCATTTGAACATCAAGTACTCCGCAATCGCCGCTCTTCTACCTGCCTCCCTCAAGGCTTGTGTCCGCCCCTATGCGTACAAAGCACCTTGCAAATACAAAAACATCCACGTCTCGTATCCATTCCAAGACAAGCAGAAAGTGGCGCTCTTCAAAAATACAATTCTAAAACGGACACGTTCTGGCGTCGACAGGGCAAACAAAGGCATGATTCATTCTTGACGTGCTGGCTAGACAATTAACCCCATGATCCAGGACAACACCAAGGCGCCAACTTACTGTCCATCGATCCAATCCGCTACCCGCTTGTATCGTTATCATCATTTGATTCGTGACGCCATCGCCCCTGGTTCCCTCGCCGCTGACATCGAGGCGCCGCTAATATCACTTATATCATTACATCATACGAATGCGCGGCTCGCCCTTGAGGCTCCCCTATGAATCATCTTCCTCTGGCTCAAATTTGGTCTCGCCGAGCATTGGTCCTGGCTCGGACTTCATAGCTGTCTGAGCACTTGTCTGGGGCTGAACCTGTACGGGTGGGCCGCTTGGCTGAGCAGAAGCTGGCGGCGGAGCCGGTGCCGACTGTCGAGCAGCGGCGGTGGCTGCATTCAGTCTCTGATCTAGCGCCTTGAGCGCGATGGCCCTCCTCCTCTCGGCTTCAGCACGAGCACTTCCTGGGGCCCCCCTCTGTGAAATGCTGTCATGGCGCGTGGCTATGCCCCGCTGTCCCGATGGCTTGCAGAGCCGAATTACCACAAGGATGCTGTATATCTGATCTGCAACGGCGGCCACAAAGGGCTTGACAGGCCCTGGGAAGAACTCGGCAAAGGCAAACGTTTCGCTGGCGTCACCACGCAGCGACGCTGGCTGAGCCGAGTCAAGGTCGGGAAAGACTACCTTGAAAAATCGCAGGTACGTCCAGCTGGTGAGGAAGCCGAAGTTGGCCAACCACAGAGCAGCACGCGACAGCAGTGGTGTGAACGAGAGCAAGGTGACGATGCCGATGTAGATGAGGGGGATTTTCGGGACTCGGAGGGAGACGACTCCTCGGAAGAGCGTTACCGTATGCGCAGGGATGAGTTGGCTGAAGGCGACGAGGAAGGCGATCTGGAAGGGAATGGTGCCGCCAATGACCGTAAGGCTTTGAGGGAAAACCGGGTGTTAGCAGTCATCTCGCATACAGTAACGGGCAACAGGGATATATATATATATGGGTGTGTGTGTGTGTGTGTGTGTGTGTGTATGAACTCACGTCCAGTCAGGATCTCTGGTCAGGGTGAAGAAGAAGACCATGGTGAAAAAGGTTAGGACATTTGGGACCAGAGAAACAATGGCAATAAACTTGGCCAGGTCTGCCGACGACCATGCTCTCTCCAGATATCTGCCACCATGATACAGGGTCACGGCGCCCAAGCCAAACGTAAAGACGTTGCCCTCAACTAGGGAAGCCGTCAGAAAAGTCCAAGGGTAGGTAATGGACAGCTGTGGGATGAGCGTCAAGTACGGGATGACGATGTTCGCATCTTCGGACCACTGGCGATACCTAATCGCGGCGCTCAGGACCGACTGGAAGAGCAGAGTGCCGAGCAGGGCTCGTGTGACTGGCGGGATGTTTATTCGCGGGGGCATGGCGACGGGATGCGGGATGCGGGATGCGATATGGGGGGCCGGTTTATCGCGGGGATCTCTCAGATGTCATCTGAGCCGGGGGGGTTTTTGGTTTTGGCAAGGCGAAGCTGCACGGCAAGGCGGGAACAAGGCTTCGCTGTCCTCTCTGCGTGCGCTCGGATATTCGTTGTCGCAGCTTGTGGTCAAGGCGACAGCTTCCATGCTAGGGATGCTAGGCCTAGCGTTGTGATTATGTGTGCAAAGGGATCTATCTGAATCGGGAGCTGCCGACTGGCTGCTAAAGTGTTGGCCTAAGGCATCAACCAGCGAATTCTACTGGCATCTTTCCCGGCTGCAAGTGATCTGAGATGGAACCAATTACCATAGGTAAGTGGGATATTTATTTTCTTCTTCTTTGATATCATGATATCTGCGAGCCTCCTGACAGCTGCTATACTGCACAGTTGGCGTTTGTTCATGGCATTGCATCATACCAATGTAGGGGCATTTCCTAGTTGAGTTGTTGTGGCGGGCGCGGGAACGGCCTTGAACCTCCGCGGGACGGTATGCCAAAATGACAAAACTAGGGTCAGTGCATTTTGGGTTGAGGACTGACAAACCTTGCAAGGCCGGTATCACATCGACTCTCTCTAATCATTGCAAGAGAGCTCATATCTGACGACCTCTAAATGCGGTCGTCTCAGTTTGTTTTGCCTGTCCCGTTTTTACTCTTGTTCACCACTTTCGTTTCCAAAGTCATGACTCAGCAGAAGACAGAGACAAAGGCAGAACCTCGGCTAGAACGCCGGGCTTTCCTCCTATCGGGTCCGTCAGCTTGATTCGGCAGCCTGCAACTGAATTGGCCATCATGTGGGGTTCCGATGTGCAAAAACCCGCAATTGGGGGACCTTGTGCGAAGCTCCCGCTCTGTACCCAAGGTACGTACAGGCACGGGTACAGGGACAGGTACACGTTACATGTGCCACGGAACACGGGGGCACAAGAGACAGGCGGAGAAGCCGTCCCGAACGAGAATCTGGCGGCGAACGATGGGCAGAGACAGTGTCGGAATAGCCGTCCTTGCATCGCCCTCGCGGCAACGTCTGCACAAGCTCTCGGCATTGCTTGGGATTAAAACGTCGAAGGAGCATGTCATCACTTCCAGTGTGTTGGCTCAGGCAAGGTACCAAAAGTTAAGCATAAGGCACTCGCAGTTGTTGCACCGGTATGTACCGTTTGTACAGTACAGCCCGCAGGCAGGTCAAGGGCATGATTGGAACTTGGAAGTTGGTGGGTTCGCAGGCTGTGTATGTACATGTACTCGTACCTTGCAAGTACAGTACCTCGACGCTGTACCCGTGGCAGGCCAATGCAAGCTCATGTGCAAAGTACGAGGTGCATGTGCTCCATCTGTACGGAGAGCTTGGTGCATTTGACGTACATGCACGTCCGAAACCGCGACTTGATTAGCCTGCCTCACGATTCTTGTTCCTCGAAGACTTCTGGGTCGCGTAATCGGTACGTACCTCGCCTGCGAATCCATGGCCGGTTCCCTGGGCGGGTTGTCGGTGGGGCGAGCTTAAGGGACCCCATCAATCACCAAAGGTGCTGACTTTTGGAATCCCTTGGATGGAGTTTTTTCGGGGGGGCTGTGGATGTGGATGCGGATGCAGCCCAGCGTTTGTTTTACCGCGACACGTCCCTCGGGCAGACGAGGCGAAATTCAGCGCAGCTGGGGGGAGGCTTTTTTCTTTGAGTTTTCTTTGCCTTGAGGGACCTGGACCCATATCGACGTACCTATTCATACCTGTGATCGTACTTTGTACTCGTACTCGTACTGTACAGTACAATGAATGCATCGCGAAATATATGCGCTGGCCGGGCTTGGCTCCGTCATCCCCCCTCGTCTCATCCACCGTCTCCGGGCTATAATAAGCCATGGCAGCCATCTCATCGCACCCCTGTCCCCGGCACGCACATCGCAGCCGTCACCCTCGACCCCTGTGCAGATGCAATTCACAGGCATGAAGGGGAACAGGCAAGCTCGCGGCGCCACCTCCCAGGCGGACCACCACACAACGTCGCCGCCCGCCCCTTTTGTCGCCTGTGACCAGTGCCACGTAGTCTGACGATAAAGTCACCTCACCCTCCAAGACGCTGATTTCGTCCACAAGGCTGCTGCGGGAAGAGGAGACGGGCCAAGAGTCGGGAGCACGTTGTCATCCTTGGCCGCTACGGAAGCTTTTTTGTGCTGCCAATTCCAGACTCGAAACGCTGCCAGGGGGAATCGTCAGTGCGCGCGCGCGAGACTTGAATCTTAAAATTCAGGACCACTTTTTGGAGGTTAGGTAATCGACGAGGCCATAAGAACGGGACATGGAAGGTTCTTTCTTGCGCCGGAGATACGGTACAAAGGATTCTGGTCAGCAAAGCGTTGGCCTCTCACGAGCCCCAGATGCACTCAAGGGGATCCCGTGGCAGCTCGAGAGAGCACGTACGGACAATTGGGCAACAGGACAGGACAGGCTGCGGGGCGCGGGATGTCCAGGTACTACTGGAGATGGAGAGAGTACGAGACCTTGTCTCCATTTCCGGAGTAGTGCCCAGCCGATCTGCAATCAGTCTCAGATTCCTGAGCTTGCAGAAGCGCAGCTTGTTTGTGCAGCCCTGGTGCGCTCTGGGGTCTGCTCTCGACTGTCATGATGGTAGAAACGCCCAGAGGGAAGACGCGGACGAAGACGAGCGAGAGGAAGCGAAGGCTCAAGGACGACCAGATGGGGAACCAACAGCGAGCTGCTTCTTTTGGCCCTGGATCGGAATCTCGATTGCTGATGGGGATAGTCCGGAGCTGCTGCACAAAAGACCGCCCGACTTTTCGCACTTTGCCACCGCATGAATTGAGGCTTTTGGCTTCCATCCTCTCTTGGCAGTCGCCTTAGTAATCCTGGGGGAACCCTCAGACCCTCACTAACCTGTCCCTGTACACTCTACAGTACTCGTACAAAAGCAATTTGGTTCCCCCCTTTGCAGGGACTCGTTCGAATGGTTTGGGCTATCGTTTTTTTTTTTAACCGAGTCCGTGACGACATGACCAAACGGGTTTTACCGAATCTTACTGGAGCGGGTTTCACGGGATAGAAACGTTTCCGCGCGGCTCCCTTGCTGAGACTGTCCATGTTCTGGATACGGAGAAGCTTTTTGCTTCGCGGAGACAAGGGAGAGACACGGTGATGGAGGGCATCACGGCGACGGCATGGAACAGAACAGATTGATGCGATTGACGAAGGAGCAGCGGTTGGCGCCACCGACGCTAACAACTGGGCGCAATTTTTCCTTTCCTCCTCTCCATCTCCGTGCCCTTATTCGCCTCTTGGGGATGGGCACGCGGCGCTGCCACGCATGTCGAAGCCGGGTTACATGACAGTACGGTAGCACTGTACCAGAAGCTCGTTGTACTTTTTGGTCGTTGCCGATAAATGCACGCACTCGTCAGAAAAGGACGATTCTAACTGGTCCCCGCAAAGACTCAGTGGTTCCTCTTGACGGCGAAAGACGTCGATACTGTGAATGTACATGCAGCTCGCGAGCACAGCATGGCTGCCCGCTTGGGCTGTCTCTGACGACTCCCCCCTCGTACAGTACTTGAAGCCCCCCGTGATGGGTACCTTGAATCATTGTCCGTCAAAAGTCTCGGCAGCTTGGCCAAGGCCTAGGGTTCTCCCCCAATCCCCGTTTCTCCCGTTGCCCTACCGCCATGCTATCTCGTTCCACAGCGATTTGAATGCTCAATCTAGCGCCAGACCAGTCCACTTTTGGTGGCCGACTAGATGCAGTAGTGCCAAGTACGGAGCAGTACATGGACGTCGCACACATGCCGCGGCGTCAGCTCGGTACCTCTCGGTACCTCTCCGTACATGCTCGTACACCCAGGCTGGGGAGGTAGCGTGGCGGCGCGTTAGGTAAGCCGTTGCCATGGACGGATCCATCAAATGGGATGGACAGTTTTGGCTTCAAGGGCTGCCTACGGAGTACGGAGTTCCTTGGGTGCTAAATAAGCTGGAGCGCCGCTGCGATGCCGACGGTAAAAGCCACGAGGCTAGGCATGGCCTGAGAATTCGACGTTAGCAGCAAGATGGACACGCTCAAGCTGTGCAACATCCGCCCTCCGGCCTCATGCTCATGCTCATGCTCATGCTCATGCTCATGCTCATGGGTCATGCTGCAGACGGTCGTTTGTGTGCATTTGAGCCCCCATCCATGGCAAGGCTAGCGCGTGTACAGCACCCAGCACCAGTAGGGAGGCAGATTGGGGGGAGAGATCTCTCCAGCATTAGGTTTGGGAATGCCTTGGGCGCGACCTTGGCTTGGGTCTGGTACCTTGTAATTGGCAGAGGGCTGTCTTTAATTGATTTCTGGCGCCGGCTATAGCGCAGTCCACCGGCTAGGTTTCTCCTTCGGCGCCTCGCCTTTCTGGGCTCTCCAAACAAGGCCCGTTAGCCTGGCGTGGGCTGGAGGGCCGGTGCAAAGTAGGCGGTACTTGGGCGGCTACCTGGGTGGTGGCGCTGGCCGTGGCGGGCTTGCAGGTACTCGCAGCGCCGCCCGCAAGTACTGCATACTCCATGCGCGGCATGGCAGGGCCAATGTACCGACAGAGGCACGCAGAGGTACCTTGTCTCTGCCGACCGTGGGCGAGTTGTGGATTCGATTCATCTTCTCTTGAATCTTCACTCACTCTTCCCTCTCACCACCAGCCTGCCATTCTGGACTTCCCCTCTGGCGGCTACCCATCAGGGCCTCTGCGCTGCTCGATAGCTGCAACAATCACACTCACCTGCGACGACGAGCCGTGACACTGCCGCCACCTCGCTGGCGCGCTCCCCCCCGGAATCTGGACCCCCCGGAAACCATGGTCCTCAAGGAATTTCTCGACTCAGACCGAGTCAACTTTCTCATCTGGAGGTTCGTCCCAACGCCCTCCAACTCCCGTCGTCTCCATCAGCCTTGTGCTCGTTTTTTTGCCCCAGCCCGGCGAATCCCTCCAAGGAACTCCCGCCGCAGCCCAATCCTTACCTCCAGTTTCCCGTTTGCCCAGGCGTTTTTCGGTCCAAAGAGGCCTCGTTGCCACTCACGCTTTTTGCTGACCCTTTTTGCGCAGGTATTTGCTTGAAGGCAGTACGTGGAATCGCATAGCATTCTCCCCCTCTCTACTCCTCGTAGGACCAAGGATAGAAGTCTAACCCGTGAATTACTTTTTTTTTTTCCAGACTACAGAGAAACAGCCGCCAAATTCCAGAAGGAATGGCACGTCAAGGAGCCGCAACGGGACTTTGATTTTGCGCGCCATGTCAAGGGCCGTGCTCTAGTGTCCGTCGTCAACAGCGGCCTCATCTACTATGCTCTCGAGCGAGAGCACTCACGCCGTCAGGTACGCCATGATTTCTACGTTTTGCTACGATTTCTCATGTCTGCCGGGTCCTCTTGATTGATTTCCTTGCCCGTTTCGCGATTGGGCTTGGGGGCCGCCTGTGCGCCAATCGCGGGTCGCTTTTCCCACTTCCTTTTTTCCCCCCCTTGGCTAACCATCCAATTCGGCTGCAGATGCCTGAAGATGCGGCCGCACAAGCCGAGGCGTTGCGCAACGGCATCTTTGGGCCGTTAGAAGTCCAGCCGCCGGCAAAGATGGAGGAGGAGGACGAAGATGCACCCGGAGAGGACGACGACGAGGCAGAGCTGTCGCGAAAACGGAACCACAACTCCCTGCCCAATGGGTCGCCTTCCAAGCGCCCACGGCTCAGCAACGGCTGCGAGAGCAAATCCGATGCAGCCACGGTCAGCACCCCCATGGATGTGGACCAGCAAGACAGCCACCACGCCGACGACGACCAGAGCCTGCACGACAACCACGCCTATCCATCTCCGCTGGAAGGAGAGCAGGTTCCGCTGCCGATTGTACGGACGGAGGGGCCCGAGCAAGGCACGCAGGTCGACAAGGTCGAGCAGCTGTTTGCCGGCACCACCTTCATCCGCCTCATGGACGGCTGCGCCACTGAAACAGCGCCTTCGCCCTCTCCAGCTGGCTCTGGCTCTGAAAACACTCCCATTCTGCTGCAGTGCGAGTGGAACCCGAGAGACCCATCAATCCTCGCGGCTGCTGGGACCGATGCGCTAGCCCGTGTTTGGACCGTTTCGCGTGCTACAGCAACTGACCACGGCCAGTATCACGTGTCACCCCACGCCCAGGCCTTGCTTGATCCCGACTCTCCAAGGTCGACGACGGTGACGGCGCTGGCCTGGACATCGGACGGCGCCTCCATTGCCGTGGCCAGCGATTGCGGAGGATCTCGTGCCGCCATCCATCTGTGGTCTGCCGGCGGTGAGCTTGCCCAGTCCCTGGACGTGACGGAGCCGCCCATTGTCAAGCTGCTATGGAACCCCAGCAACACGGCGCTGCTCGCCATTTCCCCGGAGAATAAGGTCGACACGCTGGTGACGGTGCACTCAATAGGCTCCAACCAGTCCTTCCGGTATCTGCTCCCGGGCCACAGTCTCGATGCGGGCTTGGACGCAACGTGGACGGGCGACTCGGAGTTTCTGATTTGCGGCGCCGGCACTTTCGAATGCCTGAGCCTGGGCGAGACGGCCATTCAGAGAACTCGAAAGTTCGAGACGAAGGAGGATGACCACTTTGCCCAGGTTTTGTTTGACCCGCGGTCCCAGCTCGTTGCCACCTCGAGTGACAAGGGTGTTTTGGATGTAAGTTTGCAACAACCAGAGGAATGAAAAAAAAAAGATGAGCGCTGGGACTAGAGAGCTAATCATGTACGTGCAGCTGTGGGATGAATCAGGGCAACGTCGGTCAATATCAGCCCACCAAGGGTCAATTACAACGATGGCTTGGCAGCCACTGCCGCCAGACCAATCCGGACAGGATGACGAGCGGTTAATCGCCACTGGAGGAGAGGACGGCGCCATTCTGATCTGGAACGCTAGAAAACCCGAAAGCAAACCGAAATGCTTCTTCACAATGGATCTGCCCGTCGTACGGCTCGCCTTTACGCCAGACGGAGCCTTTATCGCAGGGGCCACGCCAAGGAGTGTTTTGATATGGAAGGTCGACAGCCATTCCGTGCCTCGGGCTATCTGGAGACCCTCCAGGGACGAGCTAGAGAACCTCAAGGGCAATCAAGATTCCGAAGACGAGGACGAGCACTGTCTGTGCTGGGACAGGGACGGCCAGAAGCTTGCTTACGGCGCAAACAGTCGTGTAAGTGTGACATGTACCAGGACGATTGGGGTGGACAGGCCATGCTAACCACTTTTGAATAGCTCGCGATTATCAGCTTCAGTGGTAATAACAGTGGATAGAAACCACTCCCGCTGAGGATACGAGAACGCAGACGCATTGCGGCGAACGCATAGAATAATTTTACCGATGCTGAATGGATCGGGCGACTCTAAATGAAGCCGTGATAGACGATACGGCAACCTCTAGAAAACAAAAACGGTATCGGCGGATGGCGCGACATGACAACGGGGCTGCGACATGATCAAGTTCATTTCGGCAGCGGACCCTCTTCTCTTTTCTTTTTGCTCTCTCTCTCTCTCTCTCTACTATTATTATTCTTTTTGGAACAAAAGATGGTCAAATGGATGTGGGGGGAGGTGAGGTGCCGCGAAAATCAACCGCTTGGGCACGAATAGCCCTGCGCTTCAATCCCTTTTGTTTACCAGCATTCCCCGTCAAACTTTCTTTTTTTTTGGTCACGAACCAACGATATATCTGGACAGCGGGGGGGAAAGCTGGACTATGCTAATCATCTTGACTACGCGGATACACTCGAATGAAGGGACAGGGATAAAACGGACGTACGGAGTAACGAGTGGTGTTATTTCATTTTATCTATTTCATCTTTGCTTTATCTGCTTTATTTTCCTTTTTACTCTCTCTTTCGGGTCCAAGGCAACGGGAGGAGGCGAGGGACGGAGAAAGGGGGAGCCAGCCAAGGCATTTTCTACTTTTGTGTCTACACTTGTTTGAACAGGTCGGCGAATAGTGCGACTGCTTCTTGTACAATAAAACCTGCAGAGTACTATCAATCTATGAGGGGACAGCGTCCCCAGTTACTAATCAATCCACTTTGCCTCGTTATGATGGACTCGGTGCAAGATGGAAACGATGGATACAGTTTCATGGGTAATTAGTACTAAGGTATATCGGGATGTGTCTTTGTAAGTGAATTCTCATTGGCAGGCTGGGTCTGTGCTATGTTGGGAGGCTCGGCGGACCATAAAAAACATGGAGCAAATCGCCACTAGGCGCAGCAAACCTGACACTGCTAACCTCATTCATCCTCCCGCCCAACCACTTCAGTTTCAACGACAAGTTGATTGACAGAGGATTTCCAAACCAAGCATCAAAAAGAAATTCAAAAAAAAAAGACATCATTCACGTCAGGCGCGCCTTGTTGAAAAAAAAAAAAGACGTCAAACCACCCCCTTCAAGAAACACCACCAAACATGTCCAGCGCCCAACAGGCAAACCTCAACCAGCAGTACCAGCAGCAGCTGGCCGAGGCGCACCTGATGCACCAGCTGCACCAGCACTATCACCAGCAGCAGCAGGCCCAGAACCCGCCGCCTCGCCGGCGCGCCGTCAAGAAGACGTTTCCGACGCTCGTGTCGGCGAGCATGCGGGACCGGCAGGCGCGCGGGAAGAACGCGTACAAGAAGCATGAGGACGACTTGACGGATGAGGAGGCTGACGATGACGAGGATACCGAGGAGATGATGGAGGAGTTGGAGGAAGAGGAGGAGGAAGAGGACGAGTATGTTTTTCTTTTTTTCCTTGAACTTTTTTGTCTTGGTTTACTGTTGGGTTACTGACTTGTTTGGGGGGGAGTTAGGTATGATGATGATGACTTTGACGATGCTAGCAAAACAACCACTTCGTCCATCTTCAGCTGCAAATCGGAATCCTTCGAGACGCGCGAGCGCAGAGCCTACGCCCTCGCGGTGCTGGATCGCCCTGAGCAGCTCATGATGTACGCTGCCACCTCGAATGACGTGCGTATAACCCTCCCCCAACATCTTTCACTTTCACTTTGTTTCTCCTTTCTGCTCAAATCACTATAAGCTATTCTCTTTTCTGCTCAAGTTACTTTAAGCTATTCTCCTTTCTGCTCAAATCACCATGACCGTGATAACTAACGTAATGCCTGGGTTACAGAGCCTCGCGAGCCAGAGGCTGCGCTTCACCGCCATGATGTGCGGCTTCGAAGACGAGGCGGACTGGCGAAACAATGCGCATTTCAAAACCACGCTGTCGATGGCGCGGGAGAGGGTCGTCAAGGCCCGAAAGGGTGTGAGCATGGATCTGGAGGATGATGATTTATGAAGGGCCTGAATCTTTTTTGCTCTTCTTGCTCTTCTCTGTTTTGTTTTTCTCTGTTTTTTTCATCACGGCGGATTATGACTTATTATGACCATGGCATCGGATCCATCAGTATTAACGACTCCTTTCTTCTAAAGCTATTCAATTAAACTCATTTCCTATTTGCTATGTCCCACGATTCAGACCAAGCATCTACTATAGACAAAAAAAAAATTCAAAATCTCGACATCTTTGTAACGATGGGTATGTATGTATCAGCTGTATGTATCCCAAAACCCTCCAAGACAGCCCTGATTCCCTCTTTCATAAGTCGTCATCAAAATGGCATCCGTACCACGAAGAAAAAAACGCCGTCAACAAACAAAGTTTCCAAGCATGCGTGTAATCTTTTCAAGCCACACCAAAACGAGAGTCTTATCCCAAGCTGTTCCAGATCCCATACAGAAAAAGACAAAACCTCCATATTTGATAATAATAAGATAAACAGACAATCAATCGATGATATACGCGCAACACTTTTAGGCATACCGCTCTATTCTCGGCCTCCACTGCTGATTCGGCGGCTGTCCGTATTCCGGAGGCTGCTGCTGTTGACCATAGGCAGGCGGCGGCGGATCGTACTGAGGTTGGGCTACGCCAAACTGTTGGCCCGGTCCACGGCTTTGATTGCCTCCCCACTGGGCCCATGCTGCCGACGGGGGTGAAGAAGTCTTGGGTACAGCGCGTCTTCGAGCTCGGCGGCAGCAGCTGATGATGCAGCTCACCACTACGATGATGAGCAGAATTCCAACGACGACGGCGATGGGGATGACAATCTGCTTGTGACTATCGATCCATTCTCTGATTTCCCGAGACGTCGAGGTGCCTTCGCATGATCCGTTCGAGCAGTGCCCGCCGGCGCCGCAGGGCGTTCCATCGATAAAGTTCTGGCCAAACAAGAGGCATTGACGCTGTCCAAAAGCAGATTGTCCGTTGGAGCAGGAAACGGTGCAGCTGTCTCGTGTGTCAGGGCATGCAGTCGTCGAGCTATTGTCGGCTGAGGTACCAACGGCGGCCTGGCACTGCCTATCGCGAGATGTGCACTGGCCCGAAGCGCACTGGAGGCCGTTGCCGCTGCCGCAAGTGTCGCCATCTGCCTTGTGCTGGTCGTCGGGACACCTGGCTGCGGTGCCGGGACACGTCTCCTGAATGTCGCACTCGCCAGTGCTGGGACGGCATACCGTCGACGAGGATGCGAATTGGCACTGGTTGGTGCAGCAGTCTTCGTTGGACGGGTCGCATACGGCATTGTTCCTAAACCTGCAGGTCGTGGGGTTGCAGCATGTGTTGTTCTGGCAGCCCTGAGTGCCACCACAGTCGCATTCTTCGCCTTCTTCGACAATACCGTTGCCACACTGGCTACCCGTAATGGTTGGTACGTTCCTGTTGTCTGTTAGGCAGCTTGACAGAGATGCAGCTTTGAGGCTGGAACAGATGTTGCCGATGCTGCACGGGGAGAACTGGGCGATGCCGTTGCCAGTTGAAGGGTTCATGATGTACCGGCCCCCAGCATCGCAGGTGCTGGAACTGAGCGGACAGCACGATTGTGAGGAAGGGTTTACGGGGCAAGCAGAGCTCGTGCAGTCATGGACGGCTCCAAAAGTGTGTCCCGTCTCGTGGGCAAACACTTGCCATTCCGTCGAGGTTCGCACGACGACATTGGCGCCGGCGACGGTCTCGTTGTTCCCTTGCCCATCCGAACTGGTCCCCGACCCCTGACGGCATACCTGGCTCCTCCAGGCTAACCCAACAGCCGAGTCTGTGGGACACGTAGTCAACAGACTCCAGTAGGCATTGCCATCGAGAGATCTACCGCGCCAGGCAGAGAAGAGGTTCAGGCGGTCACTAATGGTGGTGTTGGCCTGGCAATTCACGTTCCAGGGTGTTGCAGCGGAGGGTGCGCCTGGGCAGCCACGGTCGAGGACGGTCAGGTTTCTGATGCCCAGAGAGATCTTGAAGGAGTTTTCATAGACTTGGGAGGCTTGGTTAACCATACCGATGACGTTTCTCCTAAGGTCCTCGGAAGAGTTGAAGCCGTTCCAATAAGTACAGTCAGTAGCAATCCCGACCAGCGCAACCTTCTTGGTAGTGGGGCATCCAGCAGTGTCTCCAATGCTCGCAATGAGATCTTGGCCGCTACCACCGGAGCCTCCGTCGATTTGGCGGCCGAACAGGCTTCTCGGGTCGATCCCTCGGAGCCCAGTTGATCGCTTCAGCTCCAGGTCAAACTGGTTGTTAAAGTTGAGCGAGTCTGAGATGCAATCCGACGGCTTCGAGACGTCGCGCTTCAGCTCCTCGCGGCCCTGGGAACCTTGAACATCAGAGTCACGCCATATAACCATGACTTCATCATGATCTTGTATCTCCTCCCAGTCTGAAGGGAGAGGATCATCTTCGTGCTTGAGGTTGCTGTACTTGGAACCGGTATGGATGTGGTGGTTGTCGCCGTCAATGCGGAAAGAGCCGTCAAATACCGGATTTTTACCATCGCGGTGCATCGTGATCCTCGCCCATCCACCGAGGGACCAGCCATCTTCGCCAGGACGTTCAACAAATGCGTCTCCTCGGTAGACCTTGTGCTCGGCACGTTCCACTTTCTCTCTCGACTTGACCCTTCCTTCCGAGTCGAGAAACGTCACCTCAAAGTCATCGTGGAGGATGTCGTGGTTCGGGTAAAGCGATAGTCGGACTTTCTCTTCTCCCTCGTTGAAGGAGAAGGTCAGGTCAAAATCGGTATGCGCATGAACTCGGCCGGCAGGTGTGTGGATTTTGACATTGTCAATGACAGACACGTAGTCGAGAGGACTTCTCTTCAACGAATGCGCTACAACCGGGGCCAACGTTAGTAAATAGGAAACCAGCCAAGTCGAGAGAGTAAAGGGTTATGATAGAGGAGCAAACAGTACCTATCGCGGACTGGACAAACAAGGCAGTGCTAGCAAAAGCGGCCACAAGAGGCCGGATCGCGACCATAGCTGCGGGGCGGATATATCTACAACGGCCCCCAGCGAAATAGGCGGCACGTAAAAAGCAGGAAGCAGGAGGGAAGCTGTGTTATCGCAAACAGGCCATCCAGATGACCGAGCCGGACTGTCTCTTAACTTAAAGCAGAGAGACAAGGAACAAAGCCAAGAAGCGATTGCGTCTGTCAGGGTGGCGCAGAACGATCGGACTTAGAGACGCAGCGAAGGAAACAAAAAGGAAAAAGCCGACGAGACCAAAGGAAAAAGGGAAAAGGAAACGAAAGCCCCGGAGGTGGGGAAGCGCGCGGCGCGGACGGAGGCCGGGACAATGAAGGAGGAGGAGGAACAAAGAAGGGCGAGTGTTTGTGAAGGCGGAGAGAAGTTGGGACGATGGAGGAAAGCCTCGAGCCAAAACATCAGATGGCGGTTGAAACCTTACTGTGGAAGACTGCTAGAACTAGCACAGAAGAGTCGCTAGCAGCGGCAGCTTGGCAGCTTCTGGGGGGTCCACTGAGCCTCCACTGAGCAGCGCTAGACTCGTGCAAATTAGTGGTTGATGACAGCAGGGCTGCTTGGCGTTTGGGTATGTGCAGGTATTGATGTGCTTGATTTCAAGTCGTGCTGTTTCGCAGCGTGGCTATGCAACACTAAGGCCGGTTATTATTTTGTCTTCCATGCCATCTTTTACGATTTGCTTGTCGCCAACGATCCATGCGGGCGTTGTCAGTTGACGCTTTAGTAGTGTTCCGTTCTGTTCTGCTCTTCCCGACGTCATCCATTAGCATTGCGTGTCTCGGTTGATACTGCAGGTGATGCATGTACTCATAGTGATTTTGTTTCCATACCTCCCCTCTACAGGCCTCCGACTTTTAACATCGAGTGGCCGCTGTTATGCATACTGCGATACCCTGAAAACTTCCTGGGGGATCCCTGCAGCTCCGCTCGTGTCACTCGCCTTTCTCTGACCACTGAATGGGGACCCTGCTGACCCAATAATAGAGTCCGTGTTGCAAGAGCCGGAAACACTGCGGCAATGGAAGCTTGGCGCTTGTTTCGTATTCTCAGACAAGCGTCTAACGGACGAAAGACATTGGAAACGTGCAAAACCATTCGATGCAGACAGTAGATCTACCAAGGCTGTGTAAGAGAAGCACAAGTAGGTACTCTGATCTTGTATCTCCAACTATCGATAACGGGCATCTCCGTTAAGCGAGAAAAAAAGAAATAAGAATTAAAATAAACTCATCTCGTCTCGACATTGTAAAACAACCCCGTTTCTCACCCTCATACTTCGTATACCGAGGGCTGAGCCACTCTTGGCCAAGAAATACACCCCTTGACCGCCAGAAGATGTTGATTACACACAGTAAAAAAAGAAAACCATCCTCATCATTGCGAATATGGATACAACACCAGAGCCCCAAAAGAAAAGAAGAAGGAAAAACAGGTAGCCCATGTAGCATGCCCTCATCACGCTTGCGCCCCGAATGAGACTTGCAGCAAATCCAACCAACGGGACTCCCACAACCTCAGCGCCCTCTTAAGTCCCATGACGACGCCTTTTGTCTTGGCGCTGACCATTTCGAACCAAAACATTTTTTTTTTCTTCTTCCTTCTTTCAACCCAATCTTTTCGGCTTTTAGCCCAAACTCCCCCCTCTTTACTCCCGTTGTGCTGTGAGGCCGCCTGTGATTTTACGTCGGATATCTCACAAAACCTCCATGTTCTGCATTAAACCCGGCCCCATCACCACCACCACCACCCATCACCAACACAGATACAAGCGCCCCCCCCTTTCGTACTACTGTTCTACACACGCAGATCCTTCGACTTTGTCTTAGTGTTGCATCTCCGGAATCGTCGGCGTGGGTCTTAGTTTCTGGGCTGTGCTGCATTGCCAGTCTTGGCCCTCGACTCCATTCCCGAATCGGTGGCGCGCAATCGAACATTGAGCCAAAACGATGTATCGGATGAAAAAAGTGTCAGATGTGTGTGCTCAAA